TGCAATGCGACGCATTGCGATGCAGCGCAATGCAAGCCAACGCAAAGCAATGCAATGCGATGCAAAGCAATGCGACGCATGGCGATGCAAGGCAATGCAGGGCAATGTAAAGCAGCGCAGTGCCGTTCAAAGCAATGCAAAGCAATGCGAAGCGACGCAATGCGGTGTCATGCAACGCAAAGCAGTGTGAAGCGATGGACAGCAATGCCAAGCGATGCCAAGCAACGCAACGCAATGCAAAACGACGTAAAGCGATGCGACGCATTGCAAAGCGATGCGACGCGATGAAACAAAATGCAAATCATTGCAAGGCAGTGCAATGCCTTTCAATGCAATGCAAACCGATGCAAAGCGACAGATCCATGCAAAGCGGTTAAAAATATAGCAGGCCAGCGCAAAGCAACGCAATGTAAAGGCAATGCCAGGCGATGCAACGCACTGGCCTCGCCTTCGAGGATCGAAGGAGTTGTCATCTCTTCCGCGGCGGAAGGACGGCGGAAGAGCGGCATAAGGAAAACGAGGCAGCCTCCGCTGGCGGAAGCCGGCGGAAGGGCGGCGGGAGGTGGCGGGAGTAAAAAAAACGCCCCCGTGTCCCATTCTGCTACTATGGGGGCTCCGCCATTGCCAGAGACGCCCCCTGTTGCAGCTTCAGCACCAGGACTGGGTTCTTCCAGATCGGATGGCGCTGCGCAGAATGCTAGACCGTCCGCCATGCTGGCGGTAGCAGGAAAACATTAGTCGAACGAACCCCCGTATCCCGCTCTGCCGCTTTGTCCACGCGCGGCGGTCGCCTGCAACATGCGCGCGAGAGCGCGGCAGAACCATTGCCACGGGCGCCTGCCGCCTCCCCCTCGAGAGCAGTGCTTCGCTGTGCGCGAAACTACTGTCAGGTCGGGCCTGTCCCCCTACAGGCGGACTTTGGACGACGAATCAAGAAACCCCAACATTAGCTTGGCGAAGGACCCAGCCATATGCAGATGTTCGTACGGCAATTGTGAATATCTTCTTCGGTGGTGCTCCCTATGGGGCCACGAGACGTGTGAGGGGTGTGCCGAAATGGGTTTGGGGACGCATGTGTGCGGTGGCGCTTGGGCCTTCGGTGGAGCACCCCATAGAGCCACGAAACGCGTGAGGGGTGTGCCGACATGGGTGTGGGGGACGCATGTGGACGGTGGCACTGGGGCCTTCGGTGGAGCTCCCTATGGGGCCACGAGACGTGTGAGGGGTGTGCCGAAATGGGTGTGGGGGACGCATGTGGACGATGGCACTCGGGCCTTCGGTGGAGCTCCCCATCGAGCCACGAAACGCGTGAGGGGTGTGCCGACATGGGTGTGGGGGACGCACGTGGACGGTGGCACTGGGGCCTTCGGTGGAGCTCCCTATTGGGCCACGAAGCGTGTGAGGGGTGTGCCGAATGGGTGCGGGGGGCGCATGTGGACGGTGGCACTGGGGCCTTCGGTGGAGCTCCCTATTGGGCCACGAAGCGTGTGAGGGGTGTGCCGAATGGGTGCGGGGGGCGCATGTGGACGGTGGCACTGGGGCCTTCCGTGGAGCTCCCTATTGGGCCACGAAACGTGTGAGGGGTGTGCCAAATGGGTGTGGGGGGCGCATGTGGACGGTGGCACTGGGGCCTTCGGTGGAGCTCCCTATTGGGCCACGCAACCTGTGAGGGGGGTGCCGAAATGGGTGAGGGGGACGCATGTGGACGGTGGCACTGGGGCCTTCGGTGGAGCCCCCTATGGGGCCACGAAACGTGTGAGGGGTGTGCCGAAATGGGGGTGGGGGGCGCATGTGGACGGTGGCACTGGGGCCTTCGGTGGAGCTCCCTATTGGGCCACGAAACGTGTGAGGGGTGTGCTGAAATGGGTCGTCCCGTGGGGCCGCGGCAGTTCTGGCTCCAGCGTGGCGCCTGGGCGGCCCCAGCAGTGCCCCCCAGGGCGCCAGCCTCGCGGCACAGCCGTGAGTCGCCCGAGCCGATCGCGGGTTCCGGCTCAGGCCACGTGGCATGGCAGCCGTTCCAGAAGATTTGACACAGCGCGAAAAGTTCGATGCGGACGGCAACTATTTGCGATTTCCAGGAGTCACGATTGTTTGCGATATGTTGGGCACTGATGCTGGATACGCAATTGATTTACCGTCGGTTCTGCGACAGCAGCCGATCTTGGGGAAGCTCATGTCGCCATTGCCTCCAGCAAGTTATCATATTACGCTACTAGATGTATGCACACAGTACAAACTGAACCTTGATGACCATTCGTGGTCGAAGAAACTGCAAGATCCCTGCTGGGCAGCAGCTGCGCAGGAGTTATTGGAAGCCCAGTATACACCACAGCTTCGCGTCCAAGAAGTGACTATGTGGAATGGAGGCATTGGCGTTGTCTTAGAGTCTGCTGATGAAGGCACTCCTGGCCATCCTCAAGATGTCCCCATCAGCATGAGGATCATGGAAATTCTGGGTTTGACACACCCTCAAAAGCATCCTTGGCACTTCACCTTGGGTTATTGTGTCTCAAGGGAATCGTATGACAAAGTTGATCCATGCGCTCTGGATGCCGAACGCCTTGCGGTTGAATTTGCAGTAAGGCAGGCTTTTCCAGGCGTTGTACAGTTAGGACCTGCTTTGCTCTGCCGTTTTCCAGATATGACTTCGTTTGTCCCTTGGGATGGTCTAGACCAGTAGCGCCGCTTCAAGAAGACAGGGCGCCAGGTCAGAGACTCAACACCCAACACTTGCAAGCAAGCAGAGGACATTGCGCAGCTGACAGAGTTTGAAGCAATGTTTGCGCGTAACGCAGAAGCGCCCAAAAAGTCATGCTATCACAACTCCACATGAAAACGTATGAACTTCAAAGGGAGCCATGCTTAACCGTACAATGCGAAACTCAACATATGAAGCCATGCGTTTCTCACGCAACGCACTAGACACATGCATACTATGCATACGCGTGTGTGGTTTGAAGCAGGGGGGTATGCACTCATTGGTTGCTGATGGGTTGCTAATCGAAGTGCTGCAAACAAGTTTGCAATGCAGACCCAACGCGGTTACGGGGCTGAATCCCCCTTGCGTGTTTGAGATGTTTCGGTTTGTTGTTCCTTTTCGTTTTTGTTTGTTGGTGGGTCGTTCGTTTTTTTAGGGGGGACTCTGTATGAATCGGTTCCGTTTCCTGTTTTCTCGTTCCGTGCGTCGGTGGGGCATGGCCAGGAATGCGCTTGGGTTTTGGGGCAGGGGGGGGCGCCGTTTGGTCGTCACGCTTTCGATCGTGCGACCCCTCGCACACTCAGATTCGTGACCAAGGGGGGAGGGGGTGCAACCTGGGAGGGGGGGCGAAACAAGGACAGAGCCAACATGTTGTTTCTTTGTGTTTTGCTCCCCCCCCTATCCCTGCCCCCATCCTTCCCTCCTCTCCTGCCCCTCCTCCCTCCCGTCCTTAAGCATCACAAACGAACCCCTTTGGAAAGAAAAGATATGTCCTCGCAACAGAATCCGCTGGGAATCATCACCAAGGGATTCGATGGGAAAGTCTCAGAATCGGGGGAAAGCACTGCTGAGGACTTCTATTGGAACGCATCACAAGAGGAATCCTTTCAGAAGCGCCAGAGAGAGATTCGATTGAGAGCCTCACATCAGGAATCTGTTGAAAAGCGCCACACGGGGATTCGATGGGAGAGCATCGCACTTGGAACTCTGTGGGTCCGGGCCCCCCAGAGGCCGAAAATAGCGAAAATCCTCGCGCCGTGATTTTACAGAATAGCGAAAAACCTCGCGCCGTGACGTTTTCATGACTCGAGGGGGGTCTGGGAGCCGCGCCTCGCGGGGGGCCCTCCAGGCTCCAGGCTCCGCGCGCGCCGCGGGCCCCGGGGCCTGGACGTGTCCAGGGCCGCCCGCGGAGGCGCGGGGAGGAAGGGAGGAAGGGAGTAAGGGAGGAAGGGAGGAGGAGGAGGACGAGGAGGAGGAGGAGGAGGAGGTGAGAAGGAGAAGGTGAGAAGACTCCTTGAGGGTGAGAAGGAGGAGGCCTTCTGAGAAGGCCTCGGAGGTACACCTGCTTTTCGAGAGGTTTTCTTAGCCTTCCCTGAAGACACAGAACATTTCCGAGGAGGCGAGAGGGCTCCTGAGAAGTCCCGCCGCCGTCTGAGATGGCCTTTTCCTTCTCGCTTCCCTCCTTCGCTCGCCGCCGACTTGTGCCCTCAGAGGGCCACCGCCCTCACGAGTGGACGCAGCTCGAGATGCTGGCCAGGGTGGAGCGCGGGGGCCGATGCTGAGCTGTTCTTCAGCGTGGATAGGGGGCCACATACGAACCCTAGCTCCCGAGCGAAGTGAACCCCGCCCTCCCCCTCAGAAATCGTGGGGGGTATGGGGTAGGGTTCGCATGTGGCCCTCTGACGGAGCCAGGGCGGGCGGCTGGGTCGGGCCCTGCACCCCAGGCGCGGGTGCTGCCAAAGGCGTCTTTGGCCCACGGTGTCCCCAGCGTCTTTCGCTCCACGTCGAGGCCCCCCCCCCTGGGGCCTTTGGGCCTCGTGAGGGGTGCTCAGGAGGAGGAGGAGGAGGAGGAGGAGGAGAGGAGGAGGAGGAGGAGGAGGAGGGGAGGGGAGGGGGAGGGGGAGGGGGAGGGGGAGGGGGAGGGGGAGGAGGAGCAGCGGGAGGAGGGAGGAGGAGGAGGAGGAGGAGGAGGAGGAGGAGGAGGAGGAGCATGAGGAGGAGGAGGAGGAGGAGGAGGAGGAGGAGGAGGAGGAGGACGAGGAGGAGGAGGAGGAGGAGGAGGAGGAGGAGGAGGAGGAGGAGGAGGAGGAGGAGGAGGAGGAGGAGGGGGAGCGGGAAGGTGGAGGAGGAGGGAAAAGGAGGAGGAGGAGGAGGAGGAGGAGGAGGAGGAGGAGGAGGAGGGGGGCCCTCTGGGCCTTCTGGGGCGCCCCAGGGGGCCACCTTGGGCCACGAGCGCCTCTCTTCTCGCGGACCCCCGGCGAGCTGGCCCGCAGCCCACGCCCCGTGGCTGGGCGGGGCGCAGGAGCCTGCCTCCGCGGGCTGCTGAAGGACCAGATGAGCCTGCCGGTTGCGAAGCTCCTCGTGGTGCGCGGGGGCGACGCCGACGGCGCCGAGGCGCGCGCCCGGCCCTGCCTCGCCCCGGGGAGGGAGGGGTTCGGAGCGGGCGGCCCTCCCGTGCTCGTCTGGCGGGCGACGCATCGTCGGCTCGGTCGGTTGGCCCCGTGCACGCCCGTGCTTCCGAGGCGGGGACGTGCGGTCGGGCCGAGGTATGAGATCGAGGTCGGTTCGGGGAGGATGCCCTAATGTGCTTCGTGCTTGTTGGATGTTCTGGTGCATCCTGGGGCGGGGGGGTACCCTGGAATGTTCTGTGCATGTTGGCCGGCGAGGATCTCATGTGCCCAAGTCCGACAGTGCCAATAATCACCGCCTGTGGGGTCGATCTTCGGTGACCTCGGCAGGCGGTGGACATTGACGGGCAGGGCTGGACCTAAACGCCGTTTTGATGGACTTCGGCTGTGCTTGGTTTTTCGTTTTTGACAGGGAGGTGCAGGAACACAGGGAGAGCAGAACGAAAAACAAAGCGAAACCAAGACGAACAACAACAAATAAAGCAAAACGAAACGAAAACAAAACGAACAACAACTTTTAGGTCCAGGCCTGTGGACAGGTTCAGGCCCTACGTGCGCCGAACGTCGCCACGGTGCACCACCTGCCGAGGTCCCCAGAGGCAGGCCCACGGGCGGCGGTGATGGAGAAGGCCCCGCCCCACTCCTCCTCCTCCTCCTCCTCCTCCTCCTCCTCCTCCTCCTCCTCCTCCTCCTCCTCCCTCTTCCTGCTCCTACTCCTATCCTTATTCCTTATTAGAATATACTCCTACTCCCCCCTCAGGCCGGCAGATAGGGGGCCCATCCGGGTGGTCCCATCCTAACCTGTAAAAAACAATACAAAATCAACATTTTTCTTTTTTTTTTCCTCTCGACATGGACGTCCTGTCGTCCACGGCGATAATCCATTGCAAAAAATACCACAAAGAGCACACGCGCGCGTTCATGTCAGAATCCTACCGAACACCGTGTGTTTGCAAGCATTTCAACATAAAAACATCAAAAACCCAATGCTTTTTCACAAAAATTGTACAAATTTCCCGCCCGGGCTCTCTTGCTGAAATCATAGGAAAACCATAGGAATCTTAAGAATTCGGTCAAATCCAGCGATTTCACGTCATCGCGCGGTGCACTCGCGATGCTCTGTCATGCACCCAGGCCGCGAATCCTGTGCAAAAAATACCACGCGGGCGACATGCGCGCGCGTCGCCGCGAGCGCATGCTCAAATCCTTCTAGAGTCGTCGCCGTCATTGGCACCGTCGCATGGACGTCCTGTCGTCCACGTCGCAAAATGCATGGCAGGAATGGGACCCGGCTTACCGGGCCGTTCTCGACACGGCCACCTCTGGCTTCCTGCGGTGTACCGGGCCATTCTCGACTCGTCTGGCAATGCGTGCGCGGCGTTCAACACGCGCTCGCCAGTTCCCGTCGGCAACCGCCATCGCGGCCGCATCAGCTGTACCAAACCGGCTGGCCGGTGTGACTTCGGCCCCCAGTTGTGCCAGCTTTGCTTCTTATGTTGTGGGAGGGCGGGTGGGACTGGGCATGCCATGCTTGACTCGCTCGAGCTGGCTAGCTTGACTCCTACTCTTACTCCTGCTCCTGCTCCTGCTCCTGCTCCTACTCCTACTCCTACTCCTGCTCCTCCTCCCTCCTGCTCTCACACGTGCTCGAGCTCGACGAAGTGCAATGAAGGGAGGAAAAGACGCCCGGGTCCGATGAGTGGCGTTTACTGAACGGCCCTGGGCCTTCACAAAACAGCCTTACCCTGTGTTCGATGTTCCTTCTCTGGGTGCGCTGGCTAAACGACTGTTCGTGTCGGGGTGGTTCTGACGAGGGTGGTATTCATGCTCCCAGGGCTGGACCTAAACGCTACTTTGCTGGACTTCGGCCGTGCTTTGTCTTTCGTTTCGGCAGGGGGGTGCAGGAGAAAAGGGAGAGCCGAACGCAAAAAAGCAGGACGAGCACCGAACGGGCAAGAAACACGACGTTCAGGTCGGGCCCTGCCTGCTTCCTATAAGAAAGTCGCGCGCGCATGGGCTTGCAGAGGTCCGCGCGGATTCCCTGGACGTGCGCTAGCCCCCCCCCCCCGGGCGGCGCCTCGCCCCTGGCGCGCTCCTCGCGCGCCAGGGGCGAGGGCTGCCCAATGCCGACCCCCGGGCCTCCAGCGATCATGCCTGGGTGTTCTCTCTTCTTTTTTTTTTTTCTCTCTCTCTCTTTCTCTCTCTCTCTCTCTCTGAGGAGGAGGAGGAGGAGGAGGAGGAGGAGGAGGAGGAGGAGGAGGAGGAGGAGGAGGAGGGAGGGGGACCCAGAGATCCAACGCATTGAAAAATTTACGAGGGAGGTTTTTCGTATTCTTCGGCCTCGAGGGGCCCTCGCCAGGCCCTGGGACCGTCAAAAGACGACCGAGGATGAAGAACCGGTCCTGGACCTCGCATTGAAAAAATCAGCACGAACGAAATGGGCACGGAAAGAATGGGTACGATGCCCAAAAGCAGTTCCTGTCCATTCTGAACAGGACTCGCTGTCCGCGCCGCCGCGGCCTGTGTCCATTTGAGACAGGAGGCCGCCTGCCCAACAACGGCCGCCGTTGGTTTGGGACAACACTTGCTGTTGGGCATTGTACCCATTCTTTCCGTACCCATTTCGGGCGTCCAAAAAGGAGTGTTGTGCTTGGGGAGGCCCAGCGTTCGCTCGTCCCCCTTCGCTGCGAGAGGGGCCTCTGCCTGCCGTCTCGGGAGCTCTCGGGCGATCAGGGCCGGAGCGCCCGGGCCGGGGGCCCCTCGCGGCCTCGAAAGTTCTTCGGAGGCGCTCGTCGCCATGAAGCAAACCGGTCATGAGGAAACGGATCCAGGATTTCGCCACGTGTTCGACGAAGTCCGCCGAAGAAGGAAGAAACGCCATAAGCATAATAAGCTGGCGGCGCTTCGCGCCCAAATTTTATGTGTATGGCTTGCTTTCTTCTTCTATCGACGATTTCCGAGCCCTACCCCCGCCGCCCATCAGGAGGAGGAGGAGCAGGAGGAGGAGGAGGAGGAGGAGGACGGGACGCCCAGCGCTGCAGCAAGAGGGGCTGCCTCCGCGATATTGCACGATGTCACACAAGTCCGTTGGCAGGTTCCTTGTGGAGGGCTTGTCCGAATGGCTTAGGCGACCCGTCCTCCTCCTCCTCCTCCTCCTCCTGCTCCTCCTCCCTCCTCTTTTCCCTCCTCCTCCACCTTCCCGCTCCCCCTCCCTCCCTCCTCCTCCTCCTCCTCCTTCCTCCTCCTCCTCCTTCTCCTCCTCCTGCTCCTCCTCCTCCTCCTCCTCCTCCTCCTCCTCCTCCTCCTCCTCCTCCTCCCCGTCCTCATCGTTCCAGCTCGACACGGGGAAGGGGTGCTGTTTCGACCCACGGCTGCAGTAGTCTCGGGTGCGCTGATGTCCTGGTTTATCAAAGTCTCCCCCTCTGGAGCCCTCACCTTATGATGTTCCAACCTGCTTTAGCCTTGATCGCCACAACGAATTTCGAGCACCAAGAAGGTGCCGGAACTGGAACAGTTTTCACGTGTCGGGCCTTGGGAGGAGATGCTCGTCTGGGGTTCCGTGGATCTTGTCTTGGGGCCGTCCTGCAGCGGCATTCTGCTGTCTCGGCACCGTCTCCGTCTTTGGGTGGACGCCGTCTGGAGCGGTTCGGGTGACGTCTTGAGGGCTTCGTCGAGAGCAGACAGCGCCGGGCGGACAAGAACCGACGAGAGCAGACAGCGACGGGGAGAAATCGATCGACCGACGCGGTCGCCCAGCGGAATCGCTGGGCGGGTTGCACACAGTGTTGAGCGAAGTTGAGCGAGGAGGAGGAGGAGGAGGAGGCGGAGGAGGAGGAGGAGGAGGAGAAGGAGGAGGAGACCGCCAAGCACACGCGCCTTCGACGCACTGGAGTTACCCGAATGCCTGCAGTGCTGCCCGCGCGAACGAACCAGTACGGAGCGATGCTCTGCCTTCCGAGCGCCGGGCCCCGTCTGCAGGTGGAACTCCAGGACAGCGAGGTGCTGGCCGAGGGCGTGGATCACATCGTCGTCGGGGGCTCATCCCGGCCCCGACCTTGCTTTCGCAGAAGAAGAAGAAGAAGGAGAAGAAGGAGGAGGAGAAGAAGAAGAAGAAGAGGAAGATGACAGAAGAAGAAGAAGAAGAGCCATCACCATAAACTCTTGGCGCTCCGCGCGGATTTCTTGGATCCGCTCTGGGCACCCCCCTGGCGGCGCCTCTGGCGCCAACCCTGGCGCGCTCCGCCCGCCAGGGAGGGGGGGTCCAGCGCTGATCCAAGAAATCCGCGCGGAGCGCGAAGAGTTTATGATTATGTCGTCGTTTCTTTGTTGCTCCGTTTGCCGCAGGAGGAAGCCCGAGTTGGCACACAGAGTCGCCAGCGGCAGCTCCCGCCAGCCGTCCCACGGAACTCCACACCAGGATGTGCAGCAGGGAAACAAACGATGGCATAAACATACAAACTCGGAGGTCCAGGCGGATTTCTCGGATCGGCGTTGGACCCCCCTCCCTGGCGCGCGGAGCGCGCCAGGGGCGGCGCCGGAGGCGCCGCCAGGGAGCCTCAGCGCCGATCCGAGAAATTCGCGCGGTCCTCCGAGTTTTATGCTTATGTCATTGCTTGTTTCCCTGTGCAGGGGCCACCGAGGGGGCCCCGCCAAGCGCTGGCCGCACCGTCCGCGATGTGCCGCCGGACAGCCGCGAGGTGTGCGGGGGGCTCCCGCCCCCCGCCGCCGACCTTCGGGGGAGGCGCTCCGGGCTCCGGCGCCCGTCTTTGGCCCCGTCCCGTAGAGTTCGGGCGCGGCCAAGAGAGGGGTGATGACTAGGGGGGGTGGATATCATGGCGGGGGCCGTGATGCCTCCCCAGATTTCATGGCGCCTCTTCTTATTTCAGTGCGTCCC